AAGGTGGTTTTGAGATTCTTTTGTCGAGAAATAAATCCCGTATCGGATTCTCGAAATTTCATATTTTTTTTACCCCTCCCCCCCCCTTCTCTCTCCAGAAACAGTTGGTTTTCAAGTGATAATATTATACCCAGAGAATATTTTGCTGTATATTAATTATTTTTTTTATTCACGCACCGCCTTCCCTCCACCCCTACACAAAAGTATAAAATTTAATGACCACCAACAGATATTTCTTCAAGGAGAAAGGAGATTTCGCATGACGTTTTAATTTAAACTTATAAAAAACGTAGTTTTTTTTTAAAGTTTCTGAAACTAACTGCCACTAGCTCCAGTTAATTTAAACTGTTTTTAATGCCCGGTTTAGGCTTGTGTGAAGAACATATCACACATAACTGTCAGTAAGTGTTTATTCATGACTAAACTACGTAAGGCCCACAAGGGATATTTTATTACAGAGCTAAGCCTGTTTTGTTAGGTCCATACTGAATCTGATATTAAATATATTGTGCAACCTCTAAGGCCCAAAATGAACTTTCAAAACATAAGATAATTAATCGGGCTTATGAACATATCATAGGGTGTTTACGTATGCAATTTAAACAATACCACTTAATTACGCAGGCTACATAGTTTGCGCTGAGTTTGTTAGTAGTTCAAATAAAAAGGAGAAAAACATCCTCTCGTAGCTATAACTATACGATCTTTTCAATGTATTTGTTATTAAAATTAGATTTATTTAATTATACAATGTATCTGTTTTAGATACTTTGTGTGTTTTATGGTTCTGGAGATACCCGTGGTAGGCAGAGCACAGTTAGCCCATTGTGTAACTTTGTACTTAATTACAAACAAACAACCAGTAACGAAATACTGTAATTTAACTAGCTTTTCTAGCTTTCCCTGGTGGTATAGTATATTAATAATACTTGATATGGCTCATTTCCTTCTGAGGCCCGATATGGCCAGGTGGTTAGGGCGCTCGACTCGCAATCTGGGGGTCGCGGTTTCGAATCCTCGTCCCACCAAACATGCATCGCCCTTTCAACCGTGGGGGTGTTATAATGTGCGGTCAATCCCACTATTCGTTGGTAAAAGAGTAGCCCAAGAGTTGGCGGTGGGTGGTGATGACTAGCTGCCCTCCCTCTAGTCTTACACTGCTAAATTAGAGACGGCTAGCGCAGATAGCCTTCGTGTAGCTTTGCGCGAAATTCAAACAAACAAACCTTTTTCCTTCTCACAAAACTACATCAGAAAATTGTTTAGTTCTTTAACTTGGCAAACAAATAAACCTGATAAATTTACAACTCTGGAAATGTTTGCCCTTTGGAAATATGTATATTATTTCCTACATTTAACACTATGAGCAAGAAACTGAATCGGCGTTTTAGATTTACGCAATAATATTCTATCTCTTTATCACCCAGTGAAATGGAGTGGCTTGGTGGTTAACATGTCGAAGTGTGGATACGAGGGTTTATGGTTCGAGTCACATGGTCGCAAAAAACAAATAAACGCTTCTCTGCTCTTTAGGGCCGTGCATGAGTTATAAGGGTGACAGTCAAATCCCAGTATTCGATTGGAGTAGCCTAAGAGTTGGCAGTGGTTGCTGTTAACTAATTGCTTTTCCTCTAATCTATCAGCCCAAAATTAGAGACGGCTAACACAGATAGCCTTGTACAGGTTTGGCTATTATCGGAAAGAAACAAACAATCACGAGTGGCGCTATCTAGTAGTATTTGTAGAAATTACCTATTTCTGTGGAGAGTCGGTAGTAAAGTTATCGAAGAAAAAAACAAGAGGTAATCCTCAATAACCGCAGCACTTAAAATTCTTTTAGGCAAGATTAGAGTATATTAATCAGTGAGGCCTTTTTTGTCCTTTTTATTAGCTATATTTTCGTACGCCAGCAATACCAAGCGTGAAGCGTGCTTATATCCAATTCAATTTTATTACTCATTAGGATCTCTACCAGCCTACCCTCCAATTGAAATTATTTTAGGTAGAACTAGAGTAAATTAATATGAATCTTGAGTATGATCAAATACACCAATCGAAAGAGTTTGACCTTCTGAGTCCAAAACTAGACCTCAAATTGGTCAAGAGATGACGGAGATATAAGCTAAAAGTTTGTACTTCAAAACAACAACAAAATATATATAACAAATTCAGAGCCGTTCTATGAGCCGCTATGCAGCGGCTAAAAAACTATAAAATCAGATAAGTGATCTTTGAAATGTCACTAAAATGAAAGTTTTAGCTTGGGATGATAACTTGAAATAATATACTAATTACAAAACTGTTAGCAGAGTCAGGCAAGTAATGTGTATGATAAGTAGACTTGTATTTAGGATACCGAAAAAACAAACAAAAATACTCCATTAAAAGTGCACAGCTCGCTAATTTGACTGAACTTTTATCATCTTTAGTAAGCATAGATTGTACTCGAGGCAGTAAGGCTTAAGTTAGTTCTGGAACATTCTCATTTACACAGAACTTGCAGTCAGTCAGACAAGATCACACAAACAAACAAACAAAATGTGATAGTGACGACTCTTCGAGATCTAGACAACTCTCTTATAAACAAAAATGATTTACAACTTAACAGTTTAAGTAATGTACAATACGTCACCACTCGCAATGAACATAATGTTGTATTTTTAATCATTTTTGGTTGTTTAATCCCTTGTAATTTAAGTGTTCATTTTAAATGTCTGTCTGTTTTGAATTAACTTCTTTAGACAGACATAATAACCAGTACTTGTTGACACGTAATGAAACACGGTACATAAAGACAACGATTCTCTGTTTTATTTTCTAGCCATTCTGTAAAGCATTTGATCTGAAATGGTCAAACATATGGTCTGAATATTTCGTTGTCAAGTCCGATTTACATCCCAGTTTTTATAATGACTTTAATAAAGTGATACTAAACAGCGACAACTGTAACCAGGGTGGGCTAAAAGTAATACGACTCTAGACCATGTGTAGGAGAAGCGAGGTTCCTGACAGCAGCCTCTATCCATGTAACTCACTGTAAACACAAGTAAACGAGAATGAAATGATTTAGCCTAAAGTGATTTATCATATCGTGGGAATTACTGCCGCCACTGTTCCTGCTACAGTAATGATTGGAAAAGCACATTACATAGGTGACGCATTAGGTCCTGTTTACACTTTTGGGCCACCCTGTAGTTTCTAGCCATACAGAGACCCCCTGTGAGAATGTGACGTCACAGCTGACCATTCTGTTTGGAAGTACGAGATTTATTGAATGTTTAGAATAAAACTACAATTTAACGACCTCATAAAAACAGTTGGAGATAAGGAGAGACGACATTGCAGTTTAAGGTTAGAACTCCGGGAGATAACACTACTGCTTTATTTTCATAAAAACAGTTGGAGATAAAGAGAGACGACATTGCAGTTCAAGGTTAGAGCTCCGGGAGATAACACTACTGGTTTATTTTCATAAAAAACAGTTGGAGATAAGGAGAGACGACATTGCAGTTCAAGGTTAGAGCTCCGGGAGATAACACTATTGGTTTATTTTCTGTCGATTGTAACTCTATGAT